TCAGTAGAAGAGAGACCAGAATTGCACCTGAGGTCCTCTATATTCCAGGCACCTCCAGCAGCCATCAGCTTCCCTGGTTCTCTCCCTCCAACAATAGCAGAGGCTTCCTCCAGGCTTGACACCTAGCGGCGCATTTTTCACACTCAAGTATTCCCACCCCCAGGCCCAACCCGGGGGCAGGCTAGACAGCACCCCAACCTGGACTAATCAATGGCTGGATCCAGACTGAGCATGTGGCAATTCCCTTGAGTATTAATGCCCTGTCCCAGCATGCAACACTGGCCATGAGGCCCCCAGTGATTGGCTGCTGGACTGCACATACACTCACAGTGTCCCTGATTGGATGTCCCACACTGCAGCAGAGTCACACTCCACTCATGCAGGTACAATCAATGCCAGAACACCTGGAATTAACCAGATACATGTCAAATATAATTAAGCCAGACTGAATACAGCCCTGGCAATCGCTACATTTCTAGTAGCCACTCCACTAAGGGTGGTAGGGGCAACATATACTGTATAATTACACTTTTCAGTTTTTCTATACGTTGGACAGTTTTAAAATGCCTAGAGCATCAGAATGAGATCCAACAAGTAATAGTTTTTTTTATGTATCGATCACATACAAATACTAGGTCTTACTGAACAATTAAAACACAGGCTGCTGACACAGAGATATCCTCACAAATTGAAAAGCTTATTTTTAATCTTTATAAGTAGATTACATACACTAAAAAATACATCTGTTTTCCTGTGTTCCTGTTTTTTTCTCATTAGGGTATACCCATATATCATCCTTCTGCTTCTTATGTCTTGCACACTCCTCTTGGCTCCTCCTTCCACTCCATTGGACCTAAGACCTGTTCCTTTTATTCTTACCAAAATACTCTATTTCACTATATTGCTTCTTTTTATGCGAGCTAAGCAACTGATGCACACAACCACCACCTGTTACACACTATTCATATTTACTTTTGAAAGAAAACCTGATAATACAATAATTATAGGAACAGTGTAAAATGATATGTAGGTCAAACTTAACCACTTCAGCAGCTGTACCTCTATATCCCTTATGGACCAGAGCAAATTTTACATTTCCACTATAGGCCTGTTTATTTGGCATTAACTTTGTCATTACGGTACTTAAAGTGTATTTTCACTTTTGCAGCCAAATTGGGATAACGCGTGTTTTATATTTGTTACAAGGTCCCATTCACATTACATAAGCTGAAAAAAAAAAATACTTCTTGCAGTTGAAATTGCTTTCACTGAGGTTAAGAGGTTCTTGGCTTCTTCAGGGTTAAACATGCATCGCCTCTTTTGTAATGTTAGGAGGGCTTGTGAGGAGTAAAGGGTTTTGTAACCCAATCTGTCCTGTGCTGCAACCAAACATCTAAAAGGTAAGAAATATTTTTTAGAAATTATTTTTTCGGTATGCTGTGTGAATGGGAACACATAACAAACATATAGAGGAGCCTTCTCAAATTTGACTGCAAAAGTGGAAATACACATTAAGATAACAAATGAATACATACATTTTTGCAGTGTTTTTTTCTGTTTTGGCCAGTGTTAGATTTCTGAAAAAAAGCAGGTTTATTTGTAAATAAAAAATGTTATTCTATATTTGTTTAAATTATGCTAAAATGATGTTTCTGGTACGAAGCATGGCAGTTTTTTGAAAATAAAAAAAAGGTCAAGTAAAATAAGGAATGAAAGAGTCAGAGTTAGCAAAAGGTTAATAAGGGGTTAAAAAAGAATAGATATATTTAAAGAAAAATTTAACTTTTAAGGTTTCTTTGTGTGATGTCATATGCAGATCACACTTTTTATCCACAGGACATATGAATGAAATAGTAATTGATTCATTGTAATTACTCAATGACATTTGGCGAATGGAATTAATCTTCAAGGGCCATATTATGTCTACTAAGAGCTGCACCTACTTAATTTCAGGAAAAGATTATAGTACTTTGGTAATTAAGTTGATAGTAATAATTGCAATTTAAAGCATTTTATCCTAAAGAAAGGAGCCCTAAAGCATTCTTCCACATTTGCAGTAAAATTTGAGAAAACCCCTCTATATGTTTGTTATGTGTTCCCATTCACACAGCATAAAGAAAATGAATCTTTAAAAAAATATTTCTAACCTTTTAGATGTTTTGTTGCAGCAGGCAACATGGCAGATTCCAGGTTTCTCTCAGCACCTTCAAAGGGATCTGTCCTAATAGAAAAACTTAGGACTAAAATGTGAGGATTGTGTTTTTCTCATTAACCTCATTAACATTTGAATGCAGAAGCCCGGGCTCTAATCCTTTAACCCTTTGTTAGGGCAGGCCATATGTACGAATTATAATGAAATAAGCACATTACAGCCCCACAGCCCCTCCTAACATTACAAAGAAGAAGCAAGTCGAAATATTAACCATTAAGAAGAAACCCGAAGCCAACCAAAAGCCATTTAAACTGCAAGAAGCATTTATTAAATATATTTTTCAGCTTATGTTATGTGAATGGGAACATGTAACAAATATAAAATAGGCCAATAGAACAAATATAACAAATATAAAATAGACCCTATTTGGCTGCAAAAGTGGATATATACTTTAAAACATCTCTGAAGCATTTAGCTGCAAAAATGGCATAAGGAGGTCTTGATTCTACCTGTGAAAGAACAGCTGGAGGCTTGATCTATTAAATTCTTAAATCTCTGAGGGCCACAAAGCATACAGTAAAGTGGGAGAGCGGCATGTGGCCTAAAAACACTTCTTGACATGCCTGCTCTAAAGCTTGAATGTTTGACTCCAAACTGCAGTAAAAAAAAGTTTACAAAAACTGATCTGCACATCTTCTTTCACCTGTAACTTGAAGCTAAATAGTTAGTGGCTATACATCCTGAAGAGGGAGTACAAAAGACATGTCACTTACCAAACCCAACATACCTGTGAACAAAGGAAGGAAGTAATTTAACTACACTATGCAATACAGTGAAGGAATGTCAAAGGATCTTGTCAAAAGCCCACAATAAACACTTGTAGCACAGCAATGTTTGACAGCATTGGAGCTTTATCTACAGAAAATGAAGCAGCTCTGACAATCTCTAGAGGTTTCTTTTTAATAATAACAAGTTTCTAGAAAACTTGACCGCTAAACTATTATGCTCACCATACATCAAGCAATCATCAATCAATTGTGGGGATTTTTCTGAGCTTTTAATTAGCATTCAACCACAATTATTTCCTTCTTTCCAGTGAACAAGCGAACAGAAATGTGGTGGAAATCCATCTACAACTCTTCGTGATAAGACATCTTTGATTGATTTTCATTGCATGTGGTAACATATGTAGCAGTTACAAATAGGAAGAAACAATAAAAGATGTAATTCAGTAGGCTGAATATTTACTGTCCCCTTCTTTAGCGCTTTGCGGCGTCTCCCCGAAAAATGCGTTCAGCAAGAGGTAGCGTGACTCTGCGGCACAGCAGAGCTCCTGGATAATTTTTCATTCATCTCCACAGGAGACAAACTATTGAGGACTACTAGTCTATTTGCAAAACAAATTCAAAACAGTTTACTTCCCTTTAAAGTAGGAACTTACTGGTTGCTATTAGGGGCAGGTAAGATGTCCAATTACTGGAAATAAATTTGTCATTAAAGAAAATTTCCACCAAAATGTCCCAATTTTACCATGCTGATTATAATGTAGCTGTACAAACTAAGCTGTCCTTATCTGACTATGTATAATCACTTCGTAACCACCCACCAGTGGGAGGGCATTGTCATGAGAACCCAAGATTTGTATGAACTCCCCTAGGGGGGCCTGGGGGTAAAAATATCTTCTCATTGAACTCTCCACCCAAGATAGAATCTATTTTAAATCACTCTAAAGGGATACCTTTTTTAAGGGAACATTCAGCTCTTAGGGAAACTGTCATTCCCCAACACAGGGCATATGCTAGTTTAAGAGCAGTGACTCAGTGAAGAAATTTAGCTTCACCTCTCCACACTTAGGGGTCTATTCACGAAGCTGCCGAAGGATCTGGCCGTAGCTTTGGCCGATCCTTCGGCTAGCTTCGGCCCCAGGACCCCTTCGGTTCAGTAGAACCGAAGGGGTGCTGTACGGGTGCTGTAAGGGGTGCTTCACATTAGCCCGTACAGCTCCCGATCATGGCCGAGCTTCTGACAGCTGGGCGGAGCCAGCCGTGATCTTACGGCTGGCTCCGGCCACTTGCAGTGAGATCAGCGTCCCTGGTTACCTGCTAACCAGGGACACTGATCATTACAGGATTCAGAGTGACTGCTTTCACTAAAGCCTAATCATATAGATCTAGTACCTCTATATATATCTACTACTTCACAAACTGAAGCCATGATCACTGATCGGGAACATAGAAAAAATGTCTTCCAGCGTTATGCTATCCCATGGTGCACAGACCCATAAGGAACTGTCCATATGTCAGAGAAGAAAACAGGTCCCCCAAACCAGGTAAATTTATTTAAAGCTACAGCAACACTTGACTTACCTGGACTGCAAGATTTAAAACCTTGTACACACTTCTGACTAGAGTGAGAATCAAAGAACAGGTGGATGCAAAATTGGGAAGGAGGGATATGTTTTTATTTGACATAATTACACAACAGGCTTATCCCCCTGAATATAAAGTCCTTTGTATGTCTTGGTTTTGAAATACCACTACACCTATCACTTGCATAGAGCAGAGGCTGCAATACCCTACAGTATAGTACACCAGATCATATCAGTGCAGCCTGTCTATCCACTGTGGACAAGTGATGTCACTGAGGCACTAAATCTAAATGCATTGTTAGATTAGCTGTCAACAAGGACATATTGTACAATGCTGTGGCATACATTATGTGCAGTGCCACATAATTATAAAAGAGCAATCCTATGTTTTCAATGATGGCACGGTACATAAAATTATTACTATCTTTTTGGTGTTACTTGGTGAAAGTTTGCAATCCCCTTTATTGCTGATGCCATTCTGCATACTCATTTGCTGTCCGATCACTATCAATCCTAAAATGGGCTTCCTTTCAGTGTTCACAGTGTCCTTCTTTTTAAGGTCCCAGTCTTTGTATAACTTAAAAGTTGTAAGGTGAAACAAACATGGTGATCCTGGAAACGTGCTTGGCTTGGAACATTCTGTCCAAGTATTCTGACATATCCACATCCACCTCTATGGTTTGAGGTCCTTGCAGGCTTTGAACGAGTATAAGCTCTCCTGTCTGTCGATCTGATCTTTGCATCACAAAGTTTCCTCTGCTGTTCCCTCCTACTATTCCAAATCTCAAGCTGTCTGGGCCTGGCCGGCCAGGTGCTGATGCTGTTGCCATACGGAAAAGTGTAACTGGGATGGGAAGATTTGAAGGTAAAGAAAGGTATTGGAAGGAGACAGTTTTTGCTGCATGATGGCATGCCCGATTGTCCATTGGGCAGGGGTTCCGCTCACATTGCCTAGGAGGTAAGATAATATTTTAACCATCTGCACTAATTGCACATAACACAAACATCCCACCACAAACATTTCAATAGCCATATATCCCATCACAAACATATCAATAGCAGCAGTTAAATTAAATAAGTCACCGCTTTTTAATACCTGTATTGCTGGGAGATATGGATTCCTGCATTAGAGGAGATATAAATCCACTGTATGAGTATGTACGTTATTAGGCTTGTTAACTGCAGTTATATGACAACCCAATCACTAAAAATACAGGCATTACGTGTCATTTCAAATGTCATTTGCAATATCTTTAAATTTGCTTAATGAAATTACATTTTCATTTTTAAAATAATATCTGGTGATCCTGCCATGAAGGTCCATGCTCAGGCACTTCCTGTTATAGGGTAGTAGTAACATTTTCCTTGAACATACAATCAACACTCTGTATGGTCAAGTACACCTTTCCTCCGTCACTCATACTTCCCTGTCTGCCAAGTGGACTAGTTAGTGAGATTTGCTACAGCAAACCATCCATAAAGATATAAAATGTTGAAATGAGCTCTGTTAATCAACATGAATTTTAATTTGACATGTCTTGAAAGTCAAGATACAGCTGATGGCAGCAGTGTCTATCATTGGTGTCTATATGCTTTCCTGCAAACTTTATAATAAAGTTCCCAGACCTTACAATAAGTCAGGTTGATTAAACAATACTTACATAGGTGATGTTTTCACATAGCTGATATTTCCATTGGGTTTTGGACATTCAGGAAAGACACACTGAAACCCTCCTGCAGTGTTTATACACATGCCAGGCTTGGAGCAGTTGTGAAGTCCAGAATTACATTCATCTATATCTAGAAAACAGAAAAAAAGCTTTACAAATCGCTGCATAGAAAGAAGCATGCTAAGCAACACAAGAATCACTGTTAAAGTGAATGTCAACAAAATTCAATTTCACTTAATAATGTCATGTGCCACATTTGTTGCAGCCCCCTGTTACAGAAGCCCAACTGATCTAGCACCTACTGCAAATAACTTAAAGGAGAACTATGACATGAGTGATTTCCACTCACCTCATAGTTCTAAGCCGACCTGTGACAATGAGACTGTCACAGGTCGGCTCAGTAGATCGGGAGGTGAGGGAAAACATACCGGGTTCCCTGACCTCTCGATCCTGTCACGGCTCTCTGCCGTGACAGGGGGAGGGGCTGGATTCCCCTCTCCCCGCTCCGATCTGCCTATGTTGCACCAGGGCAGCCTATTTATTTTTAATTGGCTGCCAATGTACCTCAGTACACCTAAAACCAGAACTGGCTTTTTTGGCAATGCAGCGCACCAGAACACACATTGAAAACTCTGCACATAACTTACAGAGCAAAGAGCAAGGGTGGGGGGGGTGTACAAAAATATACATTTTCTATAGTCTGACTTCAGCCTTATTTGTAAAGTTACCATGCTCTTCTTTGTAAAAAGGAAATACGCTAACCCCAGTAGGTACTCATAGTATGTGAGCCTGCCTTGAAGTGAGACACCAGCACTTATAGTATTGGTGGTCTACAAAGTATCTTCCTTTTTTAAATAAACCTACCTAAATGCCCAATTTACTCACCTGAATCCATGCCCACGTGACGTTCCATCCCCAAGTCTTTTTTCTTTCCCTGTCTACTGGAAGTTGGGTCCTTCCTCATGTGTCCACATCACTGCCTTTGTGATGTGGACACTTCCCATTGGCTACCCAGTGGTGTGGTCTTCTCAGGAACTAGAAGAGAAGTCTCAGTGGTGACATTAGCAAATGGGACCACCAAGACCAGGTAGCATGGACAGATCAGCATGGCTAGATAACTGAACTGGCGCCATTCCCTAAAACTTTGCTTCACAAGGTATAGAAAAAAAGGAAAGAAGGTGTGAGATGGGAATGGGAGGTAGTGGGTTAGGTTTTGCCCATACTGTATCTATTCTTTTTTATGTTTTGCCTATAGATAACCTTTAATTAAATCAGACTGCAAGTATCTGCAAGTACAGGAAATTTACATGAAAATTGAAAGTGACAGTTGAATAGGACAAAGGGGTTTTGTTTTATGGCAGTTATCTATGTAATCTAGTACTGAAAGTAAAACAAAGCCTATTCTAATATTAGGTTATGCCATGAGCATGTTTTAAATAATTAGCTTGATAATGCAGGTATTATTTTCCTGGCTTTCTGCAATTATCCATAGTTTTACATTTTAATCCAACATTCTTTGTGGGTTATTTAATTATGTGCTTTACCTAACTAGTTAGTACATGAAGAATACAATTTTTTTTCTCAGTGAGAACTGTTGGTGCTACTGACTTGAAAGTAGCATTAAACTTTAAAATGTTTTTAATAATGAATTCAGATCAGACAAATACGCATTGCCCAGCATTTCTTTAACATTTTGCCCAAGCACTTACAGTTATTATGTTTCCAAACAGCTCCAACTCTGTCAGCTCCACTTCCCTGAACGTCTTGTCCAGTACAAGATCACAAGGGAGAGCAGAGTCTCCAGTATCTGCCTATCCACCAGCTTGGAGAAGGAAGTAGAGGATGGAGGAGCAGGGGGCAAGGGAATGGCTTGGCCTGCTATGTCTGTGTGTTTGTGGAGACACAGACACGGCTTACTAGAACAGAAAAGTGGGCCTATAGGACCCTGCAAGGGAAAGGAGCCACCCTAAAGCAGGATATCATGGCCAGGGCTTAGAGGACCAGCCTACAGGTGCAACATCCACTGTAAGTGATTTAATCAGCATTTGAAGTAGTTTAAAAACACCTTTTGACTTTATTATCACTTTAAAGACTAAGAACACATACACACCATATGCATTGACCTGTATTAATGTGCACAGATCACCACAAGCTCAATACTAGGGGACATAGAAAAAAAATCAGCGTGTTGAGGTTTGTATGTGTTTAGTACACTCTCACTTGTGGCAAAGTAATTAAAGGAGAACTATGAGGTGAGTGAAAATCACTCATCCTCATAGTTCGAACCGACCTGTGGCAATGAAACTGTCACACGTCGGCTCAATAGATCGGGAAGTGAGCAAACACATACCGTCGCTCGCTCACTTCTCGATCATCTCCCTGTAGAGAACCGTGACTGTCAGTTACTGCTCCCCACAGGGATTCCCCCCTCCCCACTCCGATCCTCCAGCGCTGACTGAAGGAACGGATGAGGAGGGGACGGGCACAGCTGGTTTTGCCTCTAGATAGGCAGAGCACACTGTCATTCATGCAGCTGGGTGGATCTCGTCAGCATTGTAGGTATCCGTCCCGGCTGTGGCGGTCTCAGTATACCGTGAGCTGTAGCTCGCGATATACTGAGCTTTGGGTCACGGGAGGACGCTAGTATATGTCCTCCTGTGACCCTTGCGAGAACTATGGGGAGAAACACTTACCCCATTGCATTCTGTTTTAAAGCATATTTTGTGTGTAAAAGGACTGTAACAAATGTGTGCTGTGTAAACAGTGAGTAGGTTCAGGTTCTATTTAACCATAGTTTGATGATTGAAATGAATACAGCTTCATCATATTTTCTAAGTGCATTGAACATTCACAAAATGAAGAGTCTCGCTTTCTTTATTAAATCAACCATATTGTCACTTTAAAAGGAAAACTATAATGAATTGGGTTCCATGATACTTTTTATATGTTTGTTTTAATTTTTTTACTTTTTTTTGCTTATGTTGGTTTTTAATCTATTGTTAATATGTTTTAGGGCAATGTCAATGGGCTTTTTTTTTTTTACGTCAGAACTGTTTCTCTTTACTATGAAATGTACCCTTGCTGCAGAATTTATACACCATTATGTAAAGAAATAACACAGCGGGAGCTTTTTGCTTTCAGGATATCTCTCTGACTGAACATACCAATGCAGCACTCCTAACAAGCATGCAGGAAGAAGAGATAGGTTTGAGTCATTAAATCATTGTTCCGATTAAGTCAAATGTATGTGTACATTTCTGAGATCTGTAAACAATTTTTGTTTAGCATAACAGGTAAGACTAGACTGGAAAATGTGCGAAATGAGCATAAAGCTCTACCTGCTAAAAATGGGAATAACAAATATTCCTAATGAACATTTCATAGTCCACGCATAAAAAAAATTTGGAACTATATGGAAGAATTTCAAATATTGCAAGCAGGCTGGCACTTTTTGCAGTAAAGACATACTATGACTATGTGCAATAAAACAAACTTACCTGCCTGTTTGCAGTCTTCTTCAGAATGTGGAGGAAGACTGCATCAAGATGTCAGCACCGGCGATGGAGCAAAGGGAGGTGAGTATAGTTCCACTTTAATACCATAAACTATAAAACACCATAATACCTTACTACAAAAAGAAAATATATACAAAACCACTATAAACACCCTTTTGCATTCTCTTTACATCTATGCAATCATAGCGTGTGTGACACTGTTTACTGTGGGGCCATTATTCCTTAATGGTACTCAACACACCTAGCCATCGAATGTTTGCTGCAGTGCACCTCAATGCATGTTAACTTGTTACCATCTCTTGTGATGCAAAGTGATTTAAAAAAAAAAGGATCATGCACTTCTTTGGTGTGATTTGGATGCAGTAAGCAGCCCATTTAAATGAACGGGCTGTCCTACTGCAATGCATGGTAGCGCATGTAAAAACGTGCTGCAATGAAACTGCGTCACATTGCACAGTTGTGAAGCCAGGCTAAAAGAATACATCCACTTACCTTCACAGTTTTTACCATCACCTAGTAATTTGTAACCCGATGGACAAGCACAGCGGTAAGAGCCTGGAGTGTTGATACAGGAATATACACAGAGGCGAGGGATTCCATCTGTCTTGTACACCTCACACTCATTAACATCTGCGGAGGAAACATACTCCTATAATCTCTTTCAGTAGCCTTATGTACATGTTTTTTTAAACAGGTTTTCCTTATGAAATATTATACATGTATTTTTGACAACCCGAAAATGTGCCATGTACCAAATAGATGTATATTACCTACAGGTAGGACTCACTTGTAAGTTTACATATGTACAAAATAATTTCCATGCCAGAATGTGACATACATGCAAACTAATCACAGACAAACCCTTTGGCATTTATATTTCATATAAGTGTTAGATCTGTTATCAGGAAACCTACAATCCTAAAAGATACATTAAAAAAGTGGATTAAAAATAAATATATATATTATATCTGTAAAAATAAGACGTATCATACTCCCCTGTCTCTCTAATAGTGCCATCAACAGAAACCTGTCCACAGTCTCAATATCCAATTGAAATACAAAGTTGATGCACTTATGTCTTCTTAAAGGTACATAAAGACCCAAGATGCCCTCCTGGGTGACCAAAAATCACCAGTGTTGACAGTGTGTGCTATCACGGTTGGACAAATTGAAAATTGATAGGATGCTATCACTATTAATTAGTAGTAGGCATTCATATCCAAGGGACACTGATGACTTTTTGGCTAAAATTAAGGATTTGGTGGTTGCAGGTATTGTGATTTTAGTGAGATATTTCAAGTCTATAAACATCTAAAGATTACACTCTGGCAATGAGAAAACTATTAGGCTATGTTCACACCATGCCCAGACCAGATCTGGAGCAGATCTGCGGACACGGTGCAATGCGTTTTTTTCCTGGGTTCTGGTGCTTTCTTTTCAGCTTAAAGTGGGCTTTTAGGTGCAGTCCAGTGCATTCCAGTGTCTTTGCATGTGTTTTTGATGCGTTCCAGACCAGACAAAATGAGACAAGCAGTATTTTTTCTTTGTCTGGACCGGAATGGATTGCACTAAACAGAGCCCAGAAATACCATAGTGATACATTGGGATGCTTTTTAGGTCTGGGAACAAACTGTTCTGGTCTGGACATGGTCTGGACATGGTGTGAACAAGCCCTTAGGGCTTGTTCACACCATATACAGTGCGTCCCAGCGCGGTTAGCTGCTGGAACGCACTGTATCGCATAGTAAACTCTCCCCTCCCGCCCCTGAACACAGTGAGCAGGCCAGGATGCGATACAGTGTGTTCCAGCGGCTAACCACACTGCAACACAATGTACAGTATATGGTGTGAACACGCCCTTAGAGCAGAATGAGAAAGTTACTGTAATGCAGAAACAGTTTATTGTGTATATTTTATGTTTAACGTTGGACTCTAACTATTTTTTGTGTAAGAATGATCACTATTTACAGCTACGGGGAGCCGCTATAGGTTCCAACACAGGTCAAGCATGCATTCATGATATGAGTAAACGAAAGAATGTTTAATCCTCATCAGTTATTTGAAAAACATTGCTGCATGTGGAGTTGATTGATGGACGGTGTGTTTGCCGTGTAGGGGACGTGTCGTCTTTGCATCGATTCCACGACGAACTTAATATGATGATGACTGATTTACAGTTTTATATGCAATTTGATAAGTAAAGGATATCTTTTCTTGACACCATGATGTCTATTAGTGATGGCAAACTAAAGACCAATTTGTGCACAAAACCGTTGAATACACTTTAATAGCTACTACCCACCTAATGTATTTAGGTCTATTTCTAGAGCACAGTTTAGCACAGAGAAGCCAAGTGATCCAACAGAATGTATGAGGAGATTGAAGGAGATGAGTGAAACATTTCCAGAATGGGGTTATCCATAGAGGTTATCCGCATGCAGCTTTGTCACAAGTGGTGAATGCACTTTAAAGGCATTTAAAGGGTTAAGGTTTAAAAAGTATGATTGACATTTCCAGTTAGTGGGCATTTCTCATGGGGAACAATTGTTAAGTGTAAGATTTATTTTACACATATTTAGATTTATTTTATTTTGTATAAGATTATCATTTGCATGATGGCTTGTGGAAGAGATGATGCCTGTGACCTGCCTGAAACTGTTGCCATTGTTCTTGAACTAATGCTTTGGACTTTGTAACCATTTTGCAAAATAAAAAAAAGACATTAGTGCTGCAATGTGTATATACAGTATATATATATATATATATATATATATACACATA